GGTGAGTGGGTAGTGTGGGGGCCTTAATGCATATGCCGGCGTCCGCCCTCCTTCGCCGGCCGTCGCTCGTTTCCCGACGGTTGGGTACCCTTCCTGTCTGTAGGGGCAGTTACTCGCGGAGTGGCCCAGTTTTCCACAACTCCAGCACCCTGATTGTCTTCCATCTCCTCGATGGGTGGGGGACGATCGGTACTTCCGGTATGTCTTGGTGCTACCTTCGTGAGGTCTAGCTGCTATCAGTACCGCATGCAGCTCTAGCGCTCGTTGGAGGGCCTCGTTTACCTTCGGCTCCGCTCGTGACGTCACCACGGGGAGAGTAGCGGGGTGATGATTCGCCTATTACGCGAGCGCTACATTCCCGCTACGTGCCGCTGGGGAGGTAGGGGTCAACATGTCACAATATTATTGTAATTATAATATTTTCATATATACAAATGTATATTTTATATATGTGAAGAAAAAAAGGAAAGGATGTCTAGGAGAGGAAGGTAACAGTTGTTTTGAAGAATATACAAGGGACAGTTAGTAAATAGATCACAAATGGAAGGTAAAACAGCTGTAATGGATCCAATAGGTTTTCCATGTGTATCACGAGGTAGCAGCCCAGCCCAGCTTCATGACAGTCTAGGTAGCAGACGAGCAGGCACTTGTTCAGAGGCTGGTTTCTCTAGTCAAAATGGCAATCGTGCTTGAGGGGTGTACTACTGAAGAACAGCGTTCTGTTTTGGGCAAAAGGACTCAATGCAAAGGATATTCATAAGTAAATGTTTAATATTCATGGTGGGAAGAGTTTATCACATATAGCGGTTCACAACTGGGTCGAGAAATTTACTCAAGAAAATTTGAAAGTTGTGGATGATGCCTGATTGGGTTGCCATGTTAAGATTGTGGCGGAAGCAACTGTGTAGTGGGTGGAACAGTTGATTCAAGCTGACAGGAGGATAATGATAGAGTGCAGCAACTGCACTAGGCTGTCCATATGGTTTAGCATACAGCATTATGCATGATCGTTTGAAGTTTCAGGAAGTGTGCGCATGGTTGTTGTCCAGAGAACTGGGACTGAAAAAAAAAACTGAATGGGTCTGTCGTTGCAACATCTGTTATGGTGTGCAGATGAAGGAGAAGAAATGCTTAACAGTTCTGTTACTGGGGATGAATCATGGATGCGTCACTACCAACCCAAATCAAAGTGTGTTTCAATGCAATGGGAACATCCAAGTTCACCTTCAACCAAAAAGTTTAAGGTTATTCTTATGCCATCAGCTGGGAAGGTTATCCTTACCATGTTTTGGGATTCTCAGGGTGTACTATTAGCCCACATTCAGAAGCATGGTGAAAACGTGAATTTTGCATCAAACAAGTCCTGTGAAGTTATGTTGAAGCTTCAGGATGTAATTTACAGAAAACGCCCAGGCCCACTGTCAAGAATGGTACTGAGTCATCATGACAATGTCAGACCCCATACAGCCCGTGCAACCCAGGAGTGAATTCAAGAACTACAGTGGAAACTTCTTGAACATCTGCCTTACAGCACGGACTCAGCGCCTCTTGACTTCCACCTGTTTGGTCTGCTAAAAGTACCTTGGTGGCAAAAGTTTTGCCGATGGTGAAGAGGTTGAAATGGAGGTGCAGAAGTGACTGATACAACAGTCAAAAGGCTTCTGTGGTGCAGGTTTTGGTACACTGATAAAGCAACTGGAGAATTTTATCAATGTTGGCGGAGAACATGTCAAGAAATAAATATTTTTTCAGGTTCGAATATCACATGTTTTATGTTTTATATCCATTCATTACCTATTTACTGAATCTCCCCCATAAATGCTGAAATGGTAACACAGCTCTAACCAATACACAAGATACATGATATCAGTAATGCAATTGGTAGTATAACAGCTGTGAAGATGGAAAAGACTAATACACAGTTTAATAAATAACTCATTAAAATAACATATATATATATCCATAATAATCAGTCTCTGATCCCATTTGAGTCTTGCTATTTGTGACCATATTAGGAATGTAAAGTAAAGTTATCTCTGTAACAGGCCATGGAGGCCCATAGAGTTGTGAGATGTTGAGGCTCCCACATCTTCTAGACCACTGGCTCACAGATGATAGTAATGTTCTCAGCCTTATGTGCCGGACACCTTTTACCACCCAGGAAGATTCCTGGAACTGATTTCTCTTAAAGGCTGAGTCGACCCCAGGGCCATAGTGCGGCTGGAAGGATTAGGTAATTTGAGAAAAAAATCTACCTCATCGGGAGTCGAACCCATGACCTTCCACCTTGTAGCATAGTGTCTCAACCAACTACACTATACGAATATATCCTTTGCAAATATGGATGTATTTTTACATCTGTATTATGAAGACATGAATAAGAATATATTACCTTTGAAGAAAATCAAAGTGTGAGCTTTTGTGTTAATTGTGATGAACCTTCATGATCCATAACAGGAAATTTCCTGTTTAGCTGAAAAATTATCAATTATTCAAGGAAGATCCTGTAAAGTTGTATTGAGTTGAGTTTCCTACTGAACCCTTCTAATATCTGACCTCTTTAATGAAGCGGTAGTCATACACAAGTCCTTGAGCTGGAATAAGGAATATGTATGGTTTCAAGGGTGGTTTCACATTCATTGGCAGCCCAAACTCTTCCTTCAGAGCTGCAGGAAACTCCTTCTCCAGTAACCCTCGGAACAGAATGTTGAATCTTAAACGACCTTCGGTGTTCAGTGTGCCCCCCAATGACCATATGCATGAGAAGAAAAATACGCCCTGTGTGCAGAAAGAGTATACGATACACTCAAGTTTCATTAACGTTCCAGATCCTGTGTCAATTGCATGATGAATTCCTTCACTTTTATTCAGCATTCTGTATGAATCAAACGGCTCATTCCTGCATGACAATCAATTACTGGAGACACATAAGCATGAAAGTTACTGAATTACACATGACTTCACATAAAATATGTTTATTCCCCATACCTCTCCATACTATGCATGAGAAGCACTGATCCCTATGCTCTGAAATTATTTGGTGTTTTACCTTAATATCAGTGAAAGAAATATGTCAGCAGTTAAGTGGCTTTCAAATAATAGAAATTATACAGATTCCTTCACTTTCATTCCTATTACCACCTGTTCACAGAGTGAGACATTAGCTAGTAGGTGGATTCCTTCAGATAAAACAGCAACATGCTACCATATGGATTGTAGCTTGAGAAGCCTTTATGCTCCATAAACATTTTCAGTAAAGCCACTTGACTTATCTGATATTACAATATCTATTGAAAATGATGTCACCCAAAACTGAAGAACATTTCCACAGAAAAAGTCACATACATTCAGATTCAAACAACTTAATGGCGTGACGCATGCAAAAACACAGACTCCCGTAGTGATGACAAACACACAGTTCATTTCCATGAATCATTTTGTTCTTGTAAACAGTCAACAGGTACTGAGAATTAGCTTTGGGCATTCTAAACAGGAAACTGCAATCATAAAAATCATAAAAAATTCAATGCTAACTCTATGAGCAAGTATGATGACCATATAATAAGCACAGGACTATAGTCATCATGTTCCCCAGAACTGAATACATGTGATGTTTATGTGCAATGAAACTTGAAACAGAAGGTCTAGAGAAATGGTCCATGCTTTACAGACTGAATTCTGGAATGTTATTCCAGAAATAAAAGAAGGCAGTCTTCAGTGGGTAATACAGCTGTTTACATCAGTGTTTAATATTTATGGATGCTGGAAGACAGCAATTTCAACATCTACTGTAATGTCAGATAAATAAAGTTGCTTGGCTAAAACATTTGTTGAGTACAGATGGGCCTGCCAATTACATTTGTTAAGCATCACGTTACCATCTCTTAGGAAATAAGCTGCCTGTTACTTGGAATTCCACTCTATGAAAATGCACTGCAAACAAAGGAATGAACTTAGAATTAATTGGTTTTTGGACACTGTCCATCATCCGGTATTCCAGAAACTAGGAATTAGCTACCTTAGATTTTAAACAACAAAGTGTATTATCAGGACAATATAGATACAATATGAATTCATGTGAATAAATGACACAACTCAGAAACTGAGATCGAATATTCATGTATGCCTGAGGATGACCCAGGTAAGGGTAGAAACATGTAGAGAAATCATTAACATCAAAATAAAACAGATGTTGACATGACAGTGTCTGTTTTGTTTATTCCCTGAACTCATTGTTGTGTAGACTGTCTAAAAATCGTATTCTTTTAGTTATATACCATCATCAGAACCCTTTAGAATCTAAAGGCATGAACCTCTACAGAAATATACTATGAGGAGAAATTACTTTAAATGTGGATAAAAATCATTACAGAAAGAATTAAACACTGAAACTTTTAGGCAATAATGGATATCTTTCAGCTTCTATAATGGTTTTGTTGGGATTTATATTTTCATTTTAGATTGAGGGTAATGCATTTTGGTGGGTTGGTTTGCCATAGAAACTAGCAGTCTCTGTCTTTATAATGAATTAACAGCCAATCTAGAATCACACATTCATAAAACTGGATCATATGGCTTTGGAAAATTCTTATACCTTGACAGCTGGATCCAAATATAGCAGAACAATACGAAATGTGAAAGAAACACATTTTCATGAGTCATTATATACATTCTGAAAATGAAGACTGCCAGTTCCTCTGAAATAATGGTAAACTATCCAGCTACAGCATATCAGCCTTGAGAATTCAAGATAAATGTCATTACAATAATACCTCAAGGAACTGTCTATTACTTTACAGAAAATGACATACAAAAGGAGAGAAAAATCTGAAACATAATCTGTGATGATAGACATAAAAAGAAAGTAAAGCTAAACATTCTTAAATTGAAAGAACAGGGCTATAGATATCATCTCTATTAAGAATATGCCAGTTGGCCAGTCATGTCACAAAACCCAGGGCTCCATGATGATAATATACAAAAACTGCTGTGAGAAAATTGGCGGCTTACTTCTAGCTGAGCTCTTTCATCCAAGTCTGAGATTCCTTGCATGTACTTCTCATCATAAAAGTCATCCATGAATGTATCAAACAAATTCATCACTGAACGCATTAAATTTGAGTCAGAAGATGGGGTGAGTTCCTGTAATATCAAGAACGTCTAATTATTAAGGGCACCTGAAGTCTGGAGTCACATTAATTCTACTGCAGGCTATAAAAGAATTGCATAACAAATTTCTGTGTCCCATGTAAGAATAAGAGAGAGTTTAAGTTAATATTTTTCCTACGGCCCTTTAAACTTAGGTTGTGGCAACGGTACGGAGTTCTTTAAATGGCCGCTATTTGAGATTCGTGAAAATTGTAGTCACTTACTAATTTTGCTCCTATTTCTGCTATTTCTGTGATAATCGAACGAAATAAACGCTGTTTTTTTCTCGAAAGAATATAGAATCAGATATTGTAATTTACAGATTGTATAAAACATGTTAAAATTTTTGCACTGACACCAAAGGAGAATTTTCGCAATTTCTTGTTTCTGAGCAAGAATTCATACGTTCTGGACACCCCTGAATGGAAGTTGCTGATGACGACACTTGTGCATGTCACGGTAACACCGGNGACTCTGTCCAAATTCAGACAGATAACTGACTGAAAAATTATGATAATTTCTGTACATACCTTAGGCAAGAGAAAGAGAGTGTAAGAAGGGAATATCAGAACATGGACATGAAGAAGTACAAACCAAACTGGGACCTACAATCCCCAGAAGTTTATAGTGCACTGAAGAAAGACTGGGGCAAATAAGAAGGAGAAGGAGAAGAAAAAGGAGGCATAGGAGAAGGACGAGGAAGTGGTGGTGGTGGTGGTGGTGAAAGAGGAGAACAAGAAGAAGAAGGAGAAGAATAGGGGAAGAAAAGTAAAAACTTAACAGCTGCTTACTTTGACACCTCCTTTCCGGATAAGATGAAGGAGAGGGTAGCTGAACCGGAGAAACATGTGACGCAGGTTTATTTTATTCTGATCATGCAGGGTAGGTGGCAGTGTATTGATCCATGATTCCAACAGTGGCTCCCATCCTAGAGTTGCTGGCTCCATGTAAATCATGCCACAGCGAGACACCTGTAACATCACCACAACTGACCAAGTAACTATAGAACATGAGACATGAATATCACTAACACTAGAGCCCACCACTAGACACCATCCTTATCAGTTACATGAATTTCACATTCTTACAGCCTAGTTTAGTAATTGTTCTCCCATCTCCATCCTGAGTAAGAAATGCCTGCTACTGTGCAGTTCAGAATCCATTACATTTTAATAGCCTATCTAAGTCTTAAATATAAAATATATAAAGCTGTAGTTTTATGTTGGTTTTGTAGGCCTGTAGACTGAGTGTGTTTAAGAATAAAGTGCTCAGGATAAGATCTCAACCCAAGAACCAGTAAGTGATTGTGTTAGTCAGTGCTAGCAATAGTAAACAAAGGTGACAAGGGTGAAATGAAAGGCAAACATAATAATCCATGATCATTTCATTTCAGTTGACAGAGAAAATAGTCTTGATCACAGTGTGTAATATCAATGATAGTGGAATGAAAGACAAGTATAATTATTTGTAATGATGCTGAACCTATTAATGGAGTTATTAACTTTAGTCATGGTGAGCAGCAGAATGGAAGACATGATTTATAATGATGTTGCATAAACTGATTCAGACAGGTACTGTTTTATACAATGAGGAATTAGAAGAGTGGTGGAATAAAGTACATAATGATTTTAATAATGCTTATAAAATCAAATAAATAATGCCAGATGAGCCATGTACCATGTATAAAACAGATGTGAAATGCATACAAAATTTCAGCCAGAAGACATCAAGGGATGACACAGTTTCGGAGACCTAGGTATACATGAGAGACTAACATTAAAAAGGATCTTAGAGATGTAGATTATAAGACTATGAACTGGATTAAATTGGTTCAGGATTATAGCAGAATTGTAGTAGTTTCTTATGTTAAAATGTTGTGAATTTTCAAGGATTCTGCCCAATGGCATTACTTAGCAAATTCGCAATGATGATAAATCCGTTGATGGAATCACAAGAAGCAATGGCTAGACTGGCAGAAGAGGCAGAAATGTATAACTTACTGTAGCAGGGGATGCCACATCAAGGTCCATGACTTCAAACAAAAGGCTAGTTGTAGGAGATAGCTGGATGGTCTCTCCTGACATTAAGCACAGTTTCCTGTTGTCATCCAGCACTGTGTTCATGTTCTCAATCCAAATTGCGTCCACTGGCCCATCAAACACCAGCCACTTCCTGAAGATCAGGTGCACAGATTACAATTATCAGCATGCCATGCATACATACATACATACATACAGTTCATTTCACAAGTCCAAACAAATGGACATGAAGGTCGTCATACAAAAATTTAAACAAACACACAGATAACGAAATAATTAAAACTAATTGTTTATGTTATGCTCCACATATTCAGAAACTGTATAAAGGAATTATTCATAAGATATAAAAACAAATTTAAACAAACACACAGATAACAAAATAATTAAAACTAATTGTTTATGTTATGCTCCACATATTCAGAAACTGTATAAAAGGAATTATTCATAAGATATAAAAACAGCTTATTTTTAAAACTATTCTATCCTCTTTAAGGCTTTGAGTGGTTATGGGCAATCTGTTGAATAGTTTAATAGCAGTAAACATAGTACCTTTCTGAAAAGCAGAAAGATTCGAGTTTGGCAAATATAATTGCTTTTGGTTTCTTGTATTCAAACCATGAACATCTAAACCTGAACAAAATTTAGTTTGATTATCAATCACAAACATCATCAATGAAAGAATGTATTCACATGTCAATGGCAGTATATTCAATTTCTTAAAAAGATCCCTACAAGAGTCTCTAGGTCCACTCCAGATATAATCCTTATTACTTTTTTTTTTGTAATTTAAAAACTCTTAACATTATTCGTTGAGT